CAAGGTCTTCACTGGGGATCTGTCTCTGGGGCTCATCTAGTTGTCCTGATCTCTGCTGACATTCAGGGCTGTAGAGGTCATCTCTAGGTGCTGATCCACCATCTGGGATGGATACGGACTGGATCCAGGTGACTGCAGTGACCATCTGATCTGGATACCTCTGGATACATCTGATCCCGCACACTGAAAGCTGCCTGGGGAACAGCATCTCTTTCACAGCTCAATAAATTGTTACTCTTTTTTTTAATATCGAGCATGTCTGCGGGAGACTGTATATTTGGATGTTACGTAGGTTACGTAGGAAGTACAACAGCGCACTGCTGTGAAGGAAAGGAATGGAAAGCGGCATCATGTTTCATAATCGTTGGAAGGCAAAAACAAACCTAAACTAAATGAAACTTGATGGTGTCAAATGCTGTGCTTAAATCAAACATTATGACATTAAGACAGCCAGAGTCAGCTGATAGAAGAAGATCGTTGTTCTGTGGTCTGAGTGAAAACCAGATTAATAATGATCAACAAGACAACAGACTGCAGGTGAGAAACAACTTTTTTTCAGCAGTTTAGAAACAAAAGAAAGATTCGACATATGTTCTTTAAAACTTTAACAGTTTAGAGTTGCAGACCCAGAGGAAATAAAGCAGTTTATCAGGTGGGCAATGGGAGAGGAGATTGCAGATAAGAAGTGCTGGATCTAACTAACAGGAAGATGGGCTAGTTTTGCGATCACTGTGGATCACTAACAGAAAAAGATTCGATGAAAGTAAAGCTATAGACACAGACAGAACATGGTCTGGAGGATACAGTCAAACCAACAATTATTCAGACACCAGATATAATTTTTGACATTTTTTTTTTTACTAGTGGGTGCAGGACACTATAGTTCATTTATGTAAGTTGAGGATAGCAAAATAAAGTAAACTGTGACGTATTATACCCCAAACTTCTTCATACAGTGGACTACCAGTAAAATTGATAAAAAATAAGTGGGTGGAAATGATTCAGATTTTAGTTGCAAAAGTGGTTGGAGCCAAAGATGTGCTGGATAGTAAGTTTACTGACAGCGGGTAAATGCGGTGAGGAATGATCTTGTGGTGGTCAAATGGGGTATCTTTTATCTTAATCACAGACTGGACATCTGACGCACACACTCTCATCTCTATTTGCTTATCCATGATTACAGCAACTCCTGCAGCAGTTTATGAGACTGGATGGACAGACCTTTATGAGTTTTCTGTCTGTGTACGAATGACATCTTGGGATTCATAAACCTGTGGCTCGTTCACAGACTGATTCATAGTGGCTGACTCTTATAAGCATGTCTCTTTTTCCTGATAATAACCAACCTCTTTGTGACACAGACAACCCATCATTCCTGGACCTGAATAATATCATGATTCAGTGTCAAATCTCTCGGTCAGTTATGTGTGAAACTCACAAGCCTATCTTTGAGATGGCCATTCGTGCAGACATGGGAAGTTGATTACACGAATGTTTCCCTAAAACATCTGGCCGCCTGACTCACAAAGGACATCATGCTGTGAGGAAACACAGGCACCAGGATGAGTCAGCAGTGCTGTGAAGCAGCTCCGGGAGGAGTGAAGGTACAAGTGTGTGTGTGTGTGTGTGTGTGTGTGTGTGTGAACTTTCACTCCCCATGTTTAGGGGGTGAATGTGTGTGATCATCTCAGATCTCTACTTTCACTCTGTGTGTGGGAAGGAGTCATTCCT